ATGATTTTCTTCCTTGCATCTTAATAAATTTGTACACTAAGTTGGGCAGGGAAGTAGAAGTGGAGTTTAATCCACACAAGTGTGAATTGATCCATTTTGGGTGGTCAAATGCAAGAGGACAGTAAATAGTAGGAGCCTTAAGAGCATTGCTATATCGAGGGATCATGGGGAGCAAGTCCATAGCTCCCTGAAAGTGGTAACACTAGTGGATAAGGTGGTAGAAAAGGTACTTGCCTTCATCAGTTGGGGCATAGAGTATAAAAGTTGGCAAGTCACATTGCAGCTCAATAAAACTTTAGCTAGGCCATATTTGGAGTATTATTTGCAGTTCTCGTTGCCACATTACAGAAAGGATGATGAGGCTTTGAATGGGGTGCAAAAGAGGTTTAACAGAATGCTGCTGAGATTGGAGTGCATTAGCTATAAGGAGAGAGTGGACAGACTTGGATTTTTTTTTGTTAGTGTCAGAGGCTGATAGAAGTGTATAAAATTATTAGAGGCATGGATAGGGTGGATAGTCAATCTTTTTCCCAGGGTGAAAATATCAAGTACTAGCAGGCATAAGTTTAAAGTGACAGGGGACAAGTTTAAAGGAAGTGTGCAAGGCAAGTTTATTTATACAGAGGATGGTAATTGCCTGGAACGTGCTTTCAGGGGAGGTGGTGGAAGCAGATGTAATAACAGTCTTTGAAAGGCATTTATACCATCACATGAACAGGCAGGGAATGGAGGGATATGAACGATGTGCAGGCAGATGAGATTAGTTTAGAATGGCATCATGGTTGGTGCAGAAATGGTGGGCCGAAGGACCCACACCTGTGCTGTACTGTTCTATATTCTATGTTGTACGTTTTTCTGCATGACCGTTGAAGATCCATTATCACGGTTTTCCTGGACGTAGAAAGGAGAATGTGGCTTTTTGCCTTCAGTAATATCCAATTGCTGCCAACCTAGTTATTGTATTTTGTTTGGTGTGGGGATGTGAGTTTATGTCTCAGTATTTAGTAATTTTTAGAGAATACTTCTTTTGCAATAGGTACTGCCCTTAACTTGCAAGTCAGTGGATAGCTATACTGGATCAACTGAATCAAACTCAGAGTTTCAGAATTCACCTACAAACAACTGCCCTATTCTCCATTGCATGGCATTAACTCTAGGCAGAATCTTATAAGGCCCTGAATGAAGTGGGCTATGGTGAGAAATCCGGGAGAATTGCCTGAGAGATCCAGTGAGGTCTCTCTTGACATCAAGAGCAACTAGAAGCATTTCCAACTAAGTTCTGAACGTAAAGATGAGATTCTTGTTAGGCAGTGGCAAGATGCCTATTAAGAGGCAAGCAGCCTCATTAACACTGAATCTCACCTCATTAATATGCAGCTTCCCATCTTACCACCACTACGAAGTAACTAGATGTCAACAATTCCCAACACGGAAGTCTGAGTGGGTATTTGGCAACTCCAGCTTGTATCCTGCTCCTCTGGGCCTCCACCTTGCAGTCCTGGCTACAAAATCTCAGGGCACGATCCAGGACACTCTCATCCTTGGACACTGACTGACCAATGGAAATCATCATTGCGCCTCTCCAATCCAATTGTAGGACACTTCTGTACTTCACTTCTGCATATTGAGGATTATTGGCAATTAGCATTGCAGTGCTACTGCAAGGGCATTTTATTGATTGGGGCAGGCACCCAGCTCACACACTATACCCAGCTTTATCTCAGAGATGTTCACTTGTCCTTTTATATCTCCCTGAATCTGAGCCTACCTAGCTACTCAAAGCATCCCTGCCTTGCACAGCCTTGCCTTGTTTTGCTTCCCCTTTGCATAAAGTCAAACACTATTCATTAATTTGGTATTAAACATATAGATGTTATAACTAAATAAAAGGGCAAAACATATGGCAAATCCACTCAATGGTCTGACAGCATTGGACTTAGCATCAAAATTCTTTTACTATCAACTTATAACTAGAGCCCTCTAAGTCTCTTTTCTTCAGCGGTCAAAGATACGGAAAGGAGCAAAACTGTTACTTTGCTGAATGACTGAGTTTCTGTAGCTCTTTAAGGCCCAAAGAATCTTCTAGAACAGAGTTTACTTCTGCAGTCAAAAATCAGATGGAGAAGAAACACTCTATAATCCTTATAAAATATGCATTTCTGCAGATTAAACAACAAAGTAATGTATTGCAGTTTAAACAGAGAATAATAATGGATTTAAAGGAAAATTGCTAATGAATTAGCTCCACGGAAACCTTGGCATATTACAATTAAACTACTGCAATTCAATTACATACCAATACACTCAGAGCTCAAAAATTTGGGGTGGAATCTTAAATGGACCTGAATGGCATGGGCAATGACACAAAATCTGGAAATATCATGAGAAGTTCAGTGAGGCCTATTTCAATGTCTGGAGCAACTGGGGGCATTTTCCAGCGAAGTGCCAGGCATCGAGATGAGATTCTCACTTTGCAAAAGCAAGATGCCTACTCAAGGAGGTTTATTACTTGTTATCAGTCTCATTAACTGCCCATCCCCCCTCAGTAATATGCAACTTTTTAGACTGCCAGTTACTGTGAGGAAACTAGACATTGAATTTCTGATGTGAAACTCAGAGTAGGTACCTGATGACTTCAGCTCACTCTTCCAGCCTTCTATCTTGGACACCCAGCAACAAAGTCTCAGGGGATTCTCCAAGCCACCTGTCACACTTATCCTTGTCCAAGGACATTGGTATCCAACAACTGTCATCTCTCAGGGCCCTCATGGCACCTCTCTATTCCACTTGCATGATGCTTCTGAACTTTAAACCTGCACTTCAGGGCACACCAGCAACACACTGGCATTGAAAAGCAGCTGCAAGGACACTTTGTGCACAGTAACAGACAGCCAGCTCACAGACTGCACCTCAGGACTGCTCGCTTTCTCTCTAAGCACTTACTCACCTTGAGTCTACCTTGATGCTCACATCCTTACCTTTCTGCACTTTGCCCTATGTAGCCAGAGGTACCAGCCTCACAGTACTTCATAGAATCATAGAATCCCTACAGTGTGGAAACAGGCCCTTTGGCCCAACAAGTCCACACTGAACCTCAGAGCACCCCACCCAGACCCATCCCCCTATAACCCACCTAATCTACACCTCCCTGAACACTACGGGCAATTTAGCATGGCCAATCCACCTAACCTGCACATCTTTGGACTGTGGGAGGAAACCAGAGGACCCGAAGGAAACCCACACAGACACGGGGAGAATGTGCAAACTCCACACAGACAGGTGCCCGAGGCTGGAATCGAACCCAGGTCCCTGGCGCTGTGAGGCAGCAGCACTAACCACTGTGCCACCGTGCTGCCCTTAAACAAATAGAAGGGCAAAATTTTCCATTTTGCCTTGCCATTTAGTGCAGACACAAAGTCAGGAAGTTTGCCATAATTGGAGACAGCCTTCAGGCAGGGCGTCATGATACAGTAAGTCAAAGGCAGCCTCCGACATCGGTCCAGAGATTTAGAGACAGTCCACTTAGGACTGTAGGGGTCATGATCTTCTACCTATAGGGCAGTCCACCATCCATCATGGCTGTTTCTGCCATAATGTAGGCAGTTTTGTCCTGGAAGGTGATAATAAGAGGGATTGAGTGAGATGAATGAGAATGGCATAAGTATTAGTGCTGGTGCTAGTGAAGAAAGATGCTGAGGTGTCCTGATTGAGTAAGTAGACAGTGCAGATGATCAAAAGCATTAGTGGGTATTGGAGGATTGGGTTTGGTGATTTCAACTGAGGGAAGATGTTACATATGACCGTCAAAAAGTTAGAGTATTAACCTTGGTGGTGTTTGCGGTATTAGGGAGATGGTGCTGGTACTTACCCTGTTGAGCGGAAAAGGTAGTTGATCTTCTTTCTTCACTGCTGGGCATTCCTCCAGATAGCTGAGACCACAATGACACTAGGGACAACCTCAGACCCTGCTGGCATGATCTGATAGTGTGACCTCTTCTGGCAATCCTCAGATTAGAGGGTGTCCTTCCTCTGAACCACCCTATCCACCTTAATCTCTAGATACCTGTTCACAAATCAGAACTGCAATTTATCCTTATCTGCAACTTCCAGAGCAAATGTTATGAACCATGCAGGCTATCAATAGTTTGACAATACTTATCCTAATGCACAATGGCCTTTCAAAGTTGGCATGGCTGCCTTGAATGTTTGTCTACTCTGGGATGCCTGTGCAGTGACAAGTTCTGCTGATTACAGTGAGTGGGAGAATTGGGTTAATGTTGAACATGAAGGGCACAATAGGAATGGCGTAGGAGTCAATGAGGTGACTTTGGGTCAATAGCCATGCAAATGTACGAGGCCTTATGGAGAGAAACCTTCATGAATCTTGAAAAAATTGACTTAGCCAAAACATGTAAGATTCAGCCCGTCAAGATTGTTTCACCCTTCACAAACAGGGATTCAAGCACTACTCTTAATTTCTACGTTTGCCCCTTTTCGTATTCCAATTTCTTCCTCCCTTTGTTTGTGCTGGTCTAAAGTTTTGTAGGTTCTGGCCTCACTCCTGGACTTTGCCAAGTGGACCTCTCTTCATGTGTAAGCTTACACTGTGGAATTATACACACTATTCAGTTACAGAAGAGAGTCAAAGCTCATTTTTTTCTTATTTTGAAGTTCAAAGTTCTTAATTCCAGAGATCAAAATTTAATAATTAAGAGTGAGAGTCCTGGCCATTTATCCACTTTCTTTTTATCTAGCCTAAGGACATTTAGATTAACTATAGTCCCATATTGTCCTCTCTGCTGTCATTCGATGAGGCGCAGATCTCACAGTTCATTGACTTCTATATTTCATTTTTTGATGGTTTTAGATTTTGAAAAAGTGGATCTATGTGGATTATTTTTATTCTTTTACAACTCCTAGATATTTGACTTATTAATTATGTGAGGTTTATTTTGTCTGTCACTGTTATTGCTTTTTTAATTTTTTTTCTACATTTCTAGTTTCTTCTTGGGGGGCTGAACATAAGTGATAACTTAAAGTGCTCCCTGAAGGATGAAGAGCTTGCATCATTGAGACCAGCAAAGACATTTAATGTTATTGTCAATCAAATCATTCCCAAGGAAATCTCTGATATCCGAAGGCTTACTTACAGACAATCCAAATATGTTGGACAGCTCAAGTTTGCTGACTTTGAGAGGATGCTGCTGACCTTGGTGTTCACAGCTTACCAGACATTAAGATTTAAAGGACACCAACAGGACTACTGGGAAGAATCACTTGTAAACATTTTTCAAGCTTTACGACGTGATTTGATGTCTTAAAAATTCTGATTTTGAGGGTACTGGAAGAAAGTTAAGGTTATAAGAGTTTAATCCTTGAATATTTAACTATCTCACTTCTTGTGATTTCTCAATGGTTCCCCTAATTTCTGAAACATACCGTAAGCTTTCTGAATTAACCTTTTTGCGGCATCTGCATTAAAATGCAAGCATTTTCTATCCATTTCACAAAAAGATGACAATGTGTAGCATAATCCTCTCTAATCTAAAGATATGAGTGATGGTAAACTGTGAATATTTTGAATATTGGGCCAATAAATTACAAAAAAACCTGCAGGTGTAAATAAACCTGCCCAAAACTATTTATAGGAATGATATAGAGAGGCATAACACTTTTCAAGCACTTAATTTGAGCCCCTTCCTCTGACTAAATTGGCACAACAAACCTCGAAACAAGTCAATTAACAGTCAGTTACTTTCAATGAATGTAAAAAGGTTTATTTTGCGTACATTATTGACTCTTATTATAGTTTTCAGCTTAAAGTATATCAATTAAATACTTTGCTTACTCTACTGCAATCAGCCCTCAAAACCAACTTATAGGGAGCATAAGAGAATTTCAACCCTTTTTTTCCCCGAGGGATCTGTTGTTAAAAATCAAGTCAAATTAAGACCTTTTATGCTCACTCCAAGAATCAGAAAAGTGGATTCCTATTATAAAAATCTTGTATTAACTTCTCACTGATAGCGGCTGTTGTAGAAAATGGAAGTGTTACATTGGTTTCGGGGTGAGTGTTCTTCTGAGAGTTAAGTGGAGGGTGGGAGCTTTATTCTGCAGCTGACTGTACTAGGGATGGTTGTCATGGGATGGTTAGTGTTGATACAGAATGCCCGAAATGTTTTCAACTCTAGCACAAATATTCTGTCATTTTCAGAAACCCAAAAATAAAAATTTACTTTTAAGGTAAGCTGATAATGAAATAAGTCAGCTGTGATTAAAATGGTAGCAGGTATTTTGCTAATTGATCAATTGCTATGCATTTCCTGCAAAAAATAATGCTTGCTCTTAATTAACCAGAATAGCATAATTTTGTTAAAGATTTGGAAATATAAACAGCTGTTCTATTTAAAAGGCAGTACAATATAAAATATGATTGAAATGAATGCTTTTTGATATCTAAATTGCTGTCTTTGTTTCAATATTGCCAGGTAGAGGGGCAATTTTCAGGGCTTGGGAACGCCAATGTGCTTGAAAATGCGACCTTACCTTCAACATCTCAGATTGGCTTAGTAGGTGCTTATTTCCATTTGCCAGAATGGATTTGAAATGGTGGTAACAGTTTTTCACGAGTCACTCAAAAATAGTAATTAAGAGTGTTATTGGGTGGAGGAATTCACTTGTACATCTTGTACATATTGAGATACATTCTTATAAGAACTGAAGAGGCCATATATTATCACAAACCCAAAAAAGGATAGTAACATAAAATTTTCTCCTATTATAATGACTCCAACCCTTGGGAGGAGAACCAAGATTAACTTGAGACTATGGAAAATCTGACTGTGTTGCATTTCACTTAAATCGTCTACTCTAATATGAGAAATATGATCACTTAAATATGGTTGATCCATGAATCACACATATAGACCCATCACACCACCCTAACACTTATTGGATCATTAAATGTGACTGATTGTAATTGCAGGAACAAATAAATCAGCTGCAGTGAGGCAGGTTCTCTGCATTTTATTGTTGCACCAACATCTAAAAGCTTTTCTTTTTGTGTGTATGGTCAAAAGTACGTATCACATAGGAGTGGGTGGTAAAACTATTGAACGAAGGATTATATTTATTGTATTCATTGAGAAAGTAAGTATTGGTTCTCACTCCTCACTGTGTGCCTGTTTGTCTTTTGAGGTCCCTTAGCATTCTGTTTCAATTTGATTTCTTTAGAGGAATGGGGAGAGTTTGTCCAATTGAGAACTCTGAACTTTGCATGGAGAAAGGTAGATGAATCTATGGCAGTCCATGGTGGTAAAATATCATTGTTAACTACATCTTAAATAGTTGAAATGCAGAGCTTACCTTGTATAAGTAAAGTATTCAATGATATTTGGCTGGACCTCTCATCATAAACTGCAGGTACATTCACCACTGAAGTTCTCATTGGCTACAGCGTGCTGGAGTGTGATCTATTTCAGAGATCAGTAGCGTCAAAAAAAATCCTTCCTCAGAATGTGCTCACAATGCTGTTAATGGAAAAGTGCCATGTTCCCATTCAGGCAGCAATACTTTGCATGAAGAAGTACTTCAATAATGAGTTACAATGTTCTCTTATATATTTAAAATTTCTTTTTATTAAATGATTAAGTGTTACTGAGCCTTTAACAATTTTAAGGATTCGTTCAATTAATGACCAATTAAGTCAAACAAGTTTTAAATAGATCTTTTCTAGTCTCTTTTGTTAATGAATCATAGCTAAGAAATATCAATTAAGTTAATTGGAAAAATTTGTATCCCTGCCTCAGGAGAAAGAGACCTCAGGTATTTGTGGATTGTATTCCAGGGTTATGTTCTTTTGCAAGGCAATCTGAGAGCTTTGGTATGTAATTTCCTTCCCAATAGCCTATTATCTCAAACACCCCAAAATAAGGAAATCTTGGATTCAGTATCAGGATGTCCTTCATGTTTGAAATAAATGGAACAAAAAATGTCATTTCAGTATAGCTTAAGCCATTCTCCCCAGAACTAATGCTGTCAATAGGGGTACCTGGAGATTTAATCATGTGAAATGACCCCAGATATCAATCATTATTATGTCAAGTTTATAAACATTTGGACCTGTCGTTGAGTAGCATAGCTTTCCATAAGAAGAATATGTTTTGATTACTGGCATGTATTGAAGAATTGGAAATCAAGGACAGAAATTTCTGTGACAACACGATGTGAAGCTGGAGGAACACAGCAGGCCAGGCAGCATCAGAAGAGCAGGAAAGTTGACGTTCTGGGTCAGGACCCTTCTTCAGAAAATTCTGTGCTCACCCAGGGCTTTCTGAAGGGTGAGCTGGAGAAGTTAATTTTGGAGGGGGCAAAATTCAGTTTTCTGTTGGTGGGTTAAAAGTTTTGCTATTACATTCTCAGAAACTTTCAGGCAGATTGACATTCCTGAAATTCTGTTTTACATTCATTAGCATGTCATGAATACTCATCAACATGCCATTTGGTTACAATTATATTGATGGATATCAGCTTGTTGGCCAAAAATGAGAAACATGAGGAAGTTCTGAGGAAGGGTCACCAGACCCGAAACGTTAACTCTGTTTTTTTCTTCACAGATGCTGCCAGACCTGCTGAGCTTCTCCAGCAACTTTGTTTTTGTTCCTGATTTACAGTATCTGCAGTTCTTTCAGTTTTTAATGAGAAACATGCCTATTCATGAACCTAACCATATACATGGGCATGTAACTCATAAGATAGACATCTTACTCCAAGAGAGTACAAACCTCTTCATTACCTTAGCTCCTTCAAAACCAAGGTGCTCCTTCACAGAAACACTTACACTGTTAGGAGTGAAGGGGTAACTGACTGGGCAACAAACCTGTCATATTGAGGCAGGAGAGAAATGAGTAGGTGAAAAGTAGTCAAATGTGTACATTCTCCTAGCTGTGTTGAAAAGTCACTGCCCTAATGGTTCGTGAGCTGCTCTATTGAAGCTCCTTTTACGTTTTAAACATGAATCCTGGCAAACATGTGAGAAGCAGTACTACTGTGGTGTCAGAAGTGCAACATTTTAGCAACAATTAACTTCTAATTAGTTTAGCTAAGTTTAAAATTTGTAAAACTCCCTTAATTTGGGAATGTTCCCATTGGAAGATAGCAAATATAATTCCTTTATTCAAAAGGGGAGACAGACAGAAGACGGAAAGCAGGGAGTGACAGGCCAGTTAGTTTTAAATCTGTCATTGGGAAAATGTTAAAGCTATTATAAAAATGTTATAACAAGGAGCTTGAACAAGTTCAAGGGAATCAGAATAAACACAGTTTTGTGAAAGGGAAATCATGTTAAACCAATTTATTAGAATTATTTCACGAAAGAACATCTGCTGTATACAAAAGAGAACTTATGAAATACAATATTTAGATTCTCAGGAAGCATTTTAATCAAGTGAACATCAAATGGCTTTTTGGAAAATAAAAGCACATGGTCTGGGGTGTAGCATATTGCCATGGATAGAAAACTGGCTAGCTAATAGAAAGCATAGAGTTACACATAAAGGGTGATGATCTGGATGGCGAGATGTAATGGAGACTATGCTACAGAGGTCAACTCTGGGGGCTCAAATTTTACAATTTAGAAACATAGAAAATACATGCAGGAGTAGGCCATTTAGCCCCTTCAGCCTACAACATCATTCAGTACAATTATGACTGATCATGCAATCTCAGTATCCCATTCCCGCCTTCTCTCCATACCCCTTGATCCCTTTAGCTGCAAGGGCCATGTCCAGCTCCCTTTTGAATATTTCTAATGAACTGGTCCCAACAGCTTCCTGTGGGAGAGAATTCCACAGGTTCACAACTCTTTGAGTGAAGAAATTCTTCCTCATCTCAGTCCCGAATGGCTTACCCCTTATTCTTAGACTGTGACTGTACGGGACTTTCCCTATATTGGGAACATTTTTCACATCTAGCCTGTCTAGTCCCATCAGGATTTTATGTGTTTCCATGAGATCCCCCCTCTCATTCTTCTAAATTCCAGTGAGTACAGCCTAGTCGATCCAGCCTTTCATCATATGTCAGTCCTGCTATTCTGGGAATCAGTCTGGTGAGCCTTCACTGGACTCCCTGAATACTAAGAATATCCTTCCTCAGACTAGGAGACCAAACTGCGCACACTTCTCAAGGTGTGGCTTCACCAAGGCCCTGTATAACTACAGCAAACATCCTTACTCTGAGAGTCAAATCCCCTCGCTATGAAGGCCAGCATGCCATTAGCTTTCCTCACCACCTGTTGCACCTACATGCCAACTTTCAGAGACTGTTCCACCATGAGACCTCGGGTCTCATTGCACATATATGCATGACTTGGATAAAGGGACTGAAGATATGGTTTTAAGTTTGCTGATGATGCAAAGATAGGTAGAAAAGTATGTTGTGAAGTGGTCGTAAGGAGCCTACAAAGGAAGATAGACAGATTAAAGAATGGCCAAAGGTCTGAAAAATGGAGCATAATGTGGGAAAGTGTAAAATTTTCCATTTTGGCAGGAAGAGTTTAAAAACATATTATCTAAATGGTGTGTGATTGCAGAACTCTCAGATGCAAAGAAATCTGGGTTTCCTCAAGCATGAATCACAAAAGGTTAGGAAACAGGCAGAGCAAGTAATTAGGAAAGCTAGTAAAATATTATCATGTGTTGTGAGAGGAGTTGAATACACAAGATAGAGGGGTTAAACTTCAATTGATATTTATTCATCCGTGAAATGTGGGCATCATTGGTTAGGCCAGAATTTATTGTCCTTTTCTAATTGCCTTGAGATAGTGGTGGTGAGCTGCTTACTTGCACTGCTGTAGTCCGTGTCCAACCCACAGTACTGTTAGGAAGGGAGATTCAAGATATTGATCCAGCAACAACCAAGGAACTGTGATACAGTCCAAGTCACAATAGGGTGTGGTTTTGAGGGGAACTTACAGGTGGTGGTGTTGCCATGCATTTGCTGACCATGTTCTTATAGGTGGCAGACTTCACAGGTTTGGAAGGTGCTGTTGGAAAAGCGTACATTGCTGGTGAAAGGAGTGAATGTTGAAGGTGCTGGATGGGTTGCCAGTCACGTGAGCTACTGGCAAGCCTGTTAAATGTTGTTGAAGCTGCATTTATCCAGGCAAATGGAGAGCATTGCATCACACTCCCGCTTGTGTCTTATAGATGGTTGACAGGCTTTGGGAGGCAGGAGGTGAGTCACTCACTGCAGAATTCCTACCCTTTGTCCTGGTCTTGTAGCTAAGGTATTTATATGTCTGGTACAGGTCATTTTCTGGTTGACGGTAACCGCCAGGACATCGAAAGTGGGGTATTCATTGATGGTAATGATATTGAATGTCAGGTGACAATGTTTAGACTCTGTTGTTGGAGATGGTCATTGCCTGGTAGTTATGTGGCATGAATGTAATTTGCCACTTATCACCCAACCTGGATATTGTCCAAGTCTTGTTGCATACGGACCACTGAAAAGGGTTGGGCCTATGACACTACTCTGAGGAATTCCAGCAGAGATGTTCTGGTGCTGAAATGCTTAACATCCATCAACTACAACCTTTGTGTGATAATTAATTCCAGCTATCACAGAGTTTTCCCCCCCCCCCCATTTCCAATGACTCAGGTTTTGCTAGGGCACACTTGGACAAGTGCAGCCTTGCCATCAAGGGCACTCACTCTCTTCTCACCTCTTTATTGTCTGTGTTTGGACTAAGGCTGCAATCAGGTCAAGAGCCAGAAGCCCTGGTGGAACCCAAACTGAGATTCAGCGAGTAGGTTATTGTTAAGCATGTGCTGCTTCACAACATTGTTGTCAATCCCTCCCATCATTAAACAAAGAAACATAGAAGATAGGAGCAGGAGTAGGCCATTCAATGTCTCAAGTGTGCTTCACCATTCAACATGATCATGGCTGATCATTGAGCTCAACACCTTAATCTCACCCTCCCCCTATATCCCTTGATCCTTTTAGCCACAAGAAATATCTAACTATTTCTTGGAAAAGTGATGT